GCAGTGGGCTACAGGGTGATAGCCCCCTGTCCCAGCACAGCAATGGCCCAGCCCCCCCTCCGGGAAGAGTCCAACACTGCCCCCGGCCTCAGCTCACAGCAATAGCCTGCTCTTGCCCCGCGCACATATCTAGGAGGCTCCCCCATGGGTGCGTGCAGTGGTGGGAGCTGCCCCACTCTGCACCTGGCACTCCCCTGGACAAACCTCTCGCTGCTCTGCCCCAGCCCCGCTCCCTTCCCTCATTGCAGAGACCTCAATCTGCCCTGCACCCCCTTCTCTTCTCTTGCCCCCCTCAACAGACTTACCAGCTAGGTGCTGCTCTCCAAGCTTCTGGGCTGGTTGTGTGCATGCTGTGGCTGCACATGCATGTGGCACTTATTAGCGACATTATCAGCCACATCAGCCAAAAAAGCCAATTGCCAGTAATGTCAATTTTCCTTTTATTGGTGCTGATGCAACATGGACCAATGTATCAGTGCACCTCTACAAAGCATACATAAGGCCCATTTGCTTCAGTAGGAAGTGTGGATGGTCAGCACTCCTATAAATCATTTTCATTTTCGATGAGGAGTATTTGGGATTTCCTTATAGTAATGTCATGCTGGAGAATTCACTAGCATCAGTGTTCTCCGCACCACAAGGTTAAGAACCCAGCCAAAGTGAGATTCTGTAATTCTCCTGGAGAATAAACTCTTTGAGATTCATAACCTCTACACTTGGGATGCTACTCCTCATGCCAAAGAAGAATATCCAGAGTGAAATCTGGCTGCACTGAATTCCCACTGACTTTAACAGGGTTAAGACGCAGCCAACACTTTGTCTGGTTTGCAGTTCTCAAGTTAGTATTTTACATGTATTCCCGTCCTAGAAGTGGGGTTTCTGTCATCTCTCGGCCCAGTTAATTTACTGTGAAAGCTGGGCATAGAAGTATGGAATTGGATACGCGCAGACATGCTTGGGCCTCTGGAGGCCAAGGTGGGGGCTTATGTTACCTCATTTCTTTATAACATGTTCTGTGCTCTTATATTCATCAGTAAGTAAGTAGTCACAGAGATCTGTAGTGTTCTCTCTGATACAACTGTTAAAACAGTATGCTTCAGTTAATTTCAGCTATGTTAGAACTCATAGAACTAGACTTTGCCAGGATGATGGAAGATGTTTTTATATTTATAGGTGGTTGAGCTGAAGCCAGGTGGAAAGGATATCCCTGTAACCAGTGCTAACAGAATAGCATACATCCACCTTGTAGCAGACTACAGACTGAACAAGCAGATTAGGCAGCACTGTCTAGCATTCCGACAGGGACTGGCCAATGTTGTTAACCTTGAATGGCTTCGAATGTTTGATCAGCAGGAAATACAGGTAAAAGCATTGGGAAATCATTTGCTGAACAATTTCAAAATTGCAACAATTGTTCATTTCTATCTAAAATATAACCATGTTATTTCCTCTACCCACAGGTTTTGATTTCCGGTGCCCAGGTTCCCATTAATCTGGATGACCTAAAATCCTTCACAAACTATTCAGGTAGGTATTTTGCAGGTGGATAAATGGGTTATAATTGATTCAAGAATAAAGCTATTAATTCAAAACTTGCCTTGTTTAGCCTAAAGCTTACTTTTAGAGTAAGAAATTGACCTATGGTGTACGTCAGTAGCAAAGCTCTCTAGATCAATATTTATGTGTAAAGGAGTCAAGAAGGGACCCTTTCAGCAACCCCTACTCTGAAAAATAGATACAGAATTGGGCTCTTTAAATGCATACTTTGAAAACCAGTTTTGTCCATGTTACTTTCTCCCTTCATTCACATACCTATTACACCTCCTCTCTTAACTTTTTATAAAACTGCTTCTTATGGAATTACAGTTATAAAAAGACCTAAATAAATTTGTCTTAGTATCATAGTGTAATTAATGAATTGCTGGATCTTATGCCCATCTCAGAAAGGATGTTTTGACACATTAGCAGAAAGCTGCTAAATGAATTTAATTTCTGAAAAGTACTTTGAATCTCCATTTTACTTATAAAGAAATGTTTTCTTCAGTGTTCTGCACCATGAGAGGTCCTTGCCCATCAAGCTCCAGGAATAAGTTTTGTGCAGTGAAATATTCTTGCTTTATAAAGATAATATCTGTGAGAAAACATGACAGTTCTGTGCACTTTCATTTAATCAGTAATACAAAATGCAGCTAATCTTGCCATCTTCCTACTGAGAAACTTTCTTTAATTGTAATTGTATGAATGCACATCCTAATTCCATAAAAGCCTGCCATTGAAAATCCTAGCCATAGCAGTTAACAAGAATTTTATCATTTTCACTTTCTTCCCAAATGTTTTTTTACTTTCTTTAAAGGAAATGCATATTACTGTTAAGATAAAGTACATAAACAATGGTACATATATATGTAACAATAACTTTTGGTTAACTGGTTGAAGGGGAAGCAGTGGGTAATGACAAACAAGGGAAGCAAAGGGCTGTGTGTAATACTCCAGGGATTCATATTAGATTTGCTTTTATTTGACGTTGTCATTAATGATCTGCAGAAGTGCATAAACACCACATGAATTAAATTTGCAGATACAGGTCAATGTCCATTTTCAGCAACATCTCCTGGGAACATTTTCATTACCAGGCATTTAACTAGACATTCCCTGCAACAGCACCGGCCACTTAGGAGCAGTGTAGCACCAGAGCATTGATGAACTAAAACTAAACTTGCTGGGTGCCACAAACCTTAGTGGGGAGGTAAAAGAAAGGACCTATCAACAAAAATTATAAGTCTTTTTTTAAAGGTTCATCATGGAATAGTATTGGGGAAAGTATGTAGAATACAGGTATGGATTGGGGACAGGAAAGCTAAAGCTGTTAAGTAACTATGTCAAAAGACACCTATAGGAGATGGGAACAACAAACATTGCTTTCCATTTTTTGAGCTGTTAAAACTGATAGGAAGGGCTCTAACACATGATATTAAACACTTCTTTCTACTTCTATTAAAATGTTTCTTTCTTTCTCTTACAATGCCAATCTTCTACTAGGTGGCTACTCGGCAGACCATCCTGTAATCAAAATATTTTGGAGAGTGGTGGAAAGCTTCACTGATGAAGAAAAACGTAAATTGCTCAAGTTTGTAACAAGCTGCTCTCGACCCCCTCTGCTGGGATTTAAGGTACAGGCCTGGCTGAATTTGCTTTGAGTGGTGCTCAGTTTGAACACGAGCAGCAGGGTGGTTTTACACGCAGGAATTCATGTATTTAGGAATTAAGAATATAACCCAGGGAAGGAGTCTGTTTATAACCACAGTTATTACTTAAGTCTTTGCAGGGAGTATAATGCAGTTTAACATCTTATCATGAAAGAGTCATTTACTGTTACTGGAAAATCCTTGTAGCTAAATTCTGGGACTGCAGAAGAAGGAAGGGCACATCATTTTAAATGCTTGCTCTTTCTGCGGGAGAATGCTTGCAGCATTGCTTTTGTTTGATCTCTTCTCTGTTGTTAACAAACTGATGGCACTGCTGCTGTATGTATCAGGGAACAGACTAATTTCAGTTTTAATGTCTTTAAAAGCTGGCAGAAGAAGATTTAAGATGTATCAGTATTTCCTGAATTGCATCTTATATTTTCTTTTGCATATCGTTCATCTATTTATAAAATTATATATAGCTACTGCCTTTTTCATCCAGATATTGTGCTAACAAGCAGCTTTTTAAATTGCTAATTAGACCCCAATTATAATACGAAGCAAGCATCTGACATTTGTAAATACTAGAGAGAGAAGCTTATGCAAATTTCAGTTTCGAAATTCAGAGATGTTCAGAGAGATGAGATGCACCAGGCTGTACAGGCATACTGACCCTCACCTCACCACTCTACTTATAGGCTCCCTGCTACACTCTGGGCTGTACTGGCTTGCCCTACCCACTGGGGTGGGGCAGAAAGCAGAAGCTGGAGGAAGGAGGGGGAGCCTGGAGACCCTGGCTGCTGCAGCTGGAGCGATAGGAGTGGTGGTGGCCAGGTGGAAATATGGAGACTGCCGATTAACCTATTCTCAGCCACCAGTTGAGCAGTGTTGGCTAAGAGCTTTGCATTCAAGTCCTTCTAGAAGGGCGAAGAGAGGTAGTTGGCCATGTTAGTCTGAAGGGAGTGCAGTGTGGCACTCTAGAGACTAACTGGTTCAGAGAGACATAAGCTTGTTTGGGCATCTGATGATATAGGCCAGGGACCAGCAAAGAATTTTGGCCTGAGTATCGAAAACACCCTAACCCTGACCTACGCCTCAACTTGGTGTGTCAGGGGCAGATCCCGGGGAGCCACGAGGAGCCCATTCCTCATTGCTGGTGGCGGCTGTACGTGCGCCTTTGGGCAGATGGTGAGGAGTGGGCTGGGGTTGTGTTGCCCTGTGCCCAAGGCATGTGTGTAGTTGCTGCTGGGGCTCTGGAGCCCAGTGCAGCTGTTTGCAGCCTGCCAGCCACCTGCTACAACTGCCCAGAGCCCACACGGGTTGTGGCAGGCATCCAGGAGGC